TGCCATGCTTTCTGTCCCATCCTCCCTCTGCTGGTTCTGTCAAGAATCGGTGCTCCTTCTCTATCTGGGAGTTCATCTAAGACCTCCGTCTATGCCTCCTGACCTGGATTTCCCTGTCCAGACTCAGTTAGAAATCCTTTCTCCCCACTTGCACCTCAAAGCTGCTTCAATGCTAGCACTTGTCACACTGTGTTCAAGTGACCTGGTTGTGCTCCTGGGTCGGCTCCAACTCCTCACATGTAGGGCTGGGCCTTGCGGCTCCAGTATCTGGCTCAGGCTCTGTAATATGGAAAGGAGTCAGTAAGAGCGGATGGATAAATAAATGATCAATGGAACTCTGTTATACCCTGAGTGGACAAAGGTGCTCTGTGAGGATGGGATTGCAGCAGAGACCAAGTGGCTGAGCCATAGCTTGCTTCCTGGTTGCAGATGGGCTCTGCAAGAATCACCTGGAGAGGCGTGCCTGCAGCATCTGCCCTGGGTCCTGGTATGAACATGTAAACGGGCTGCCAGGCCTTTAGGAGAGCAGCCTGGCCAGAGGCCACTACTCAGGCCCTCTGTGTCCTCCTAATAACATGAATTGGGGGGAGGACTATGACATGGCCTCACAGCCACCAGGGCCACAGCCAGCACTCATGGGGCAGATGGGGACACTGAAGGCCAGAGCAGGGCCAGAGCAGGCCAGCTCCCTGAGTGCGCTGGGGAAGAGCTGGGATCAAGCCTCCCATTGCTCGCCTGGATGCTAAGCCCAGTTTAGCGGCTGGAATCAGAGCCAGAGCTATGAGTGTGTAGATGTCATGATGTCAGGGTTGGGGGGATGACGCAGGCACAGAACTGCACCACACCATCAGCTTGGCCACAGAGCGCTTGCGCTGCCTCATGTCCTGAAATTCACTTCGGGCTTCCCTCTTTAGCCAGCTAAACGTGCTCCATCTCAGGTGCGCTCATGGTGTGGGAAGCAAGGGCAGGAAGGAGCTGTAAGATTCCCTTTTAAGAAGAAAAGTAAAAAAAGAAAAATAACGCCGCAGTTCTTCAACTTTCTCCGCTCCCTAGGGGAAGGCTCTGGGCTGGAGAGGCCCCTGTCTCCTGGCAGCTCCTTGGCTATTTAGTTTGATCCTCGTGAGCATCGCACAAATTTTCAGCATGGCCTTTCCGGACATAGCTTCGGGGAGAAAGGTGGTGCAATTTAATTTTTTCTCATTTAAAACAATAGCAATTGTTCGCGCATTAGGACGCATTCCTATTAAATCAATCCAATCTTTGGGAACAACTGGAGCAGAATGCAGCCAAAGTTCCCGGCTGGGCCTCCTCTGGCTTTTGGGCTAGCCAGACGGTCCTCTAGGTTTTGGTTTCAGCAAACAAGGGCTGAGAACTGAGCATGACCAGCCCTGAAGGAAGTACTGTGCGTGGGAAAAAGGGGATGTGGCAAGAATGATGCGGGTGACCCCTAGACATAGTAGTTATTTTCACAAGAAATAGGAGGACACTTGCTATCACATAGTCACGGTTCTGGGGACCAACAGGGCTCACCTTAGTGCCTGGCTTCCTGGTGGTGTCTCACTAACATCAGGAATCAGGAGGGAGAATGGAGCCCCCAAGAGGCTGGGGGTTCCACTTGGGTATGTCTGCCCGAGTGGTGAGGGTGGTGAGGATGGTGAGGATGGTGAGGGTGAGCGAACACGATGGGACCAGGTCAGAACAGGAGAGAACGGCATAGGTGAGCCGAGCCTCGGTCAGACAGACGTAGGGTGGAAGCCAGGGCCAGGAAAACTGGGACTTCAACCCCAAATCAGGCTGGAAGTGAGAAAGAAAATGAAGCACAGCCATCCATCTCCAATAGGTGAGCAGCCCAAGGAGTCAGCTTGGCAGGCGAGATGGCAACAGCCAGAACAGGAGGAGACCTGCAGCAAGTGGCGAGGTTGAGCTCCGGGCTGTGAGTTGGTGCTGAACCTGCCTTTACCATGTGAGCATCGTGGGGCACGCCAGATACCCACGTGCCACCAAGAGCCACACAGGGCTGCACTGGAGGAGGGCCACCCGGGGAAGCTGCGAGTCATCCAGAAGATGTCCAGTGGGTAACTGGGCAGAGCCATTCGCATTCTGAAAGGTCTGAGCTGGAGGGAAAGGAATCTGCGAGTTGTCCTCAGAGCTACAAGTGGTGCCATTAGAGCCGGAGGAGGGACTGGACCTGGGAGCCTCCATTAAGTAGGAGGATTGTATGTCCATGTTTGCCAGGATGGTCCTGGTTTGTACCTGTGGCCTGTGCAGACACAAACAGTGCTCCTTTTTGGTCCCCGAGACCTGGTCTGGACAGTAAATGATATGTTTATATTATCCGGCCATCTAAAACTCTCACTGGGCCGGGCCTGCTCCTCCACTTGCCCGTAAGGCTCTGTCTTCAAGAGCTTCTCTGCCTCCTGGCCCAGCCTTTGCCAGTCAATGACCTCACCTTTCTCAGCCTCAGCTTTGTCCTTAGTTTTGCAAATTGGTCATTACATAGATAACAAGAGTGTTTGTTTCCCAGAGTCCTGGTTCCAAGGTGAATGAGAAAGATCTCTGTAAGCCCTCACAGGGTCTTTGGGAGATCCAGATCTCTCTCTGTCTCTGTATCTCTGTCCTTCTGTCTCTCTTGCTGGACATGTCTGTGTCTCTGTCCATCTATCTGTCTGTCTCTCCCTGCAGAAGTCAGGCCACTGCATCTGTGCAGGGGGAAGGCCTGTTAATTACTATGAGTGCACAGGGACTTTCACCCTCTTTCATCTTTGTCTTGAAGATTCCCGAGGCTCTGCAGAACCACAGAGTGAAGACCCAGGAACTTATCTTAAGGGGCTAGATGTGAGGACAGATGCAGGGGAAGAAGGAGCCCATTATACTCACACTCTATAAATGCATTTTCTCCTCCAGGCTAGAAAGTCTAACATAGTATCTGTCAAAAAGCAGCATAACCACTATGTAGAGAGAGGGAGCTGTCTGGGAGGAGGGAAGTGAAGTCCTGCTTGCTCCAGGTGTTTGGACCATGCTGGGAGCAATGCATTTACTCAGGACGGTGGTAAGATTTAAATCCATATCAATCTCAGCGTGTGAAGAAACAGGGATATGAGGCATGGTCTTCATGAAGCTCATGGAAAGTGCATATTACAAAAAACCATGTGCAAACTAAAAAAAAATTTATTTTTACACAAAACAGCTTGCACTTTAATTCCGTATTTTCCCATGAGCTTTTTGAAGTCCTGATATTGCTCTAGAGAAGTCGTAGATACCAAGAATTGATATCCAGTGAACCAGGTGGCCAGAGGAGGTAGTGAGTTCCCCATCCCTAGAGGAATGGAAATGTAGATTGCCTCACTGTTTGATGGGGATACTGTGGAGTCAACCATGTTTATGCTGGGGCTTGAAAGATTAATTTCTAAGGTCCCTCCTGGCCTGGGCTTTGAGGACTCTCCCACGCCAGCCTCTGCTCTCAGCAGCCGGCTGCCTTCTGGATGAGTCAAAAGCCCGCCCATTCCAGCCTCCTCCTTGGGTGGGGCTCCGAGGGAGCAGCCAAGGCCTCCCACTCCTACGGTGCAGGGTTACTGCTTCCACGGGCTCTGGGACTGCCTCTGAGAGCCACCACCCTTTTGGAGTCAAGAACTGAATACATTCATTAAACAAGGAAAAGGCAAAGCACACACACACACACACACACACACAC